TCCCTGAAGCTTGTCACCTTTTCCTGCCAAACTTTAACCTTCCTGCCACCATGAACATTACTGATCTGGCCCTTTCAGCAGGGACCTGCTGAGGCTCCTGGTGGACCGGGTTAATGAGTTCTGGACAACAGAACCAGACTCAGACATTAAAGTCTCTCCTCAGGTCAACATTTAATTCTTTATTCTAATATTATGAGATGTGGATTTTTGATTTCCTCGAGCTGTAAACTGTCATCAAGATAAAAACAACAGAAGACCTGAAATATTTAAATTTATGTGGAATGAATCTAAAATATATGAAAGTTTCACTCTTTGACTTAAAATACAATTAAAAATTTACTTTTTCAAGATATTCTAATATTCTGAGATGCACCTGCAGATCATCTCTAAAGAAAATCTGTATCGGTCAATCACAAATATTGATGATACTGATGAAGATGATGTTGCAGATGCAGCAGCGCTCTCGGCCGACGGTTCACGTTGACAGTTTCCTGTATGATGAAGATCAGGTGGACTCTCTGTGTGAGGAGGGAACCATGAGTCGCTCCTACTGTCTCACCTGCGGATCCTACAGAACCGCGCCACTTGGTGAGGATCATCATCATCATCTTCATCACGCGCTTCGATCTTCCTGCTTCATCATCATCTTCTTCTGTTTTTCCTCCTGCAGACTTCATCTCGCACTCGTTCTCGATACCTGAGCTTCGGTTTCTGTTCGAGAATGTTCTTCCAGACCTGAGTGGTCGGATGCTGGTGGACGTGGGCTCCAGACTGGGAGCGGTCCTGTACGGGGTCAGTAGAACCCAGTAGATAACATGCTGACAGTTGAAGGAAAGTGAACTGAAAGTTAAAACACTACAGAGGATGCACAATGTCATTAATGTGCATGTGCGTGTGTTCAGGCGTACGTGTTCAGCTCGGCCTCTCAGCTGATCGGTTTGGAGCTCAGCGACGAGTTCGTCAAACTGCAGAACGACATCCTGCAGAAGTACAAGCTGACGGACCGAATCAAGGTTCTTCACACAAACACACAAAAGAACCGACATGAGTCAGTGTGACTGTTGACAGCAGAAGTCAGTAGAACCAGTTTCTGATGAGTTCCATTTCCTGCAGGTACTCCACACTGACGTCTGCCTGCAGAACGTTCTGCTGCAGAACACGGACGTTCTCATCATGAACAACGTCTTCGAGTTCTTCATGGAACCCAGTGAACAAGTCAGGTCAGGATCCACACTAACACACACTCTGATAGAGAACCCTGTCCGCCACACTGGGTGCCATCAGCAGCCAATCAGCAGAGAGGTTCTAAAGCCTCCAGGTGTGCTGGTTGAAGGTGTGAAACAGCCTCTGCTGCTGGATGGACGAGCTTCTTTCAGATGTGACTGTAAACACAGAGGTTAGATTCAGATGCTAACATTTCTACGTCAGCACACAGCCTGAAGGGAAAACTGAGAGTAATTAATAAATTATATTTCGGCTGTTTATTAATGAATCTTATTGAGAGGAATGAAAAGCTTTAGCCAAGAGGTGTCCTCACTGTGGTTGCCAGCGGTTTAGACATTAACAGCTGTGTGATGTGTTATTTTGAGGGGACAGCAGATTTACACTGTTATACAAGCTGCGCGCTCACGACTTTACACTGTTATACAAGCTGCACGCTCACGACTTTACACTGTTATACAAGCTAGACGCTCACGACTTTACACTGTTATACAAGCTAGACGCTCACTACTTTACACTGTTATACAAGCTGCACGCTCACTACTTTACACTGTTATACAAGCTGCACGCTCACTACTTTACACTGTTATACAAGCTAGACGCTCACGACTTTACACTGTTATACAAGCTAGACGCTCACGACTTTACACTGTTATACAAGCTAGACGCTCACTACTTTACACTGTTATACAAGCTGCACGCTCACTACTTTACACTGTTATACAAGCTGCACGCTCACTACTTTACACTGTTATACAAGCTAGACGCTCACTACTTTACACTGTTATATAAGCTGCGCGCTCACGACTTTACACTGTTATACAAGCTGCACGCTCACTACTTTACACTGTTATACAAGCTGCACGCTCACTACTTTACACTGTTATACAAGCTGCACGCTCACTACTTTACACTGTTATACAAGCTAGACGCTCACTACTTTACACTGTTATACAAGCTAGACGCTCACTACTTTACACTGTTATACAAGCTGCACGCTCACTACTTTACACTGTTATACAAGCTGCACGCTCACTACTTTACGCTGTTATACCAGCTGTACTGTCACGACTTTACACTGTTATACAAGCTGCGCGCTCACGACTTTACACTGTTATACAAGCTGCACTCTCACTACTTTACACTGTTATACAAGCTAGACGCTCACTACTTTACACTGTTATACAAGCTGTACGCTCACTACTTTACACTGTTATACAAGCTGTACGCTCACTACTTTACACTGTTATACAAGCTGCACGCTCACGACTTTACACTGTTATACAAGCTGCACGCTCACTACTTTACACTGTTATACAAGCTGCACGCTCACTACTTTACACTGGAGCAAAGAGTCATTTCTTCAGTGTTTCACATGAAAAGATAGAATCAGATATTTACAATAATGTGAGGGGCGTGTCAGTGCCCAGTACCGCTGGCCGGATCCACTCTGCACATGCTCAGAAGTGGTTCTGTCAGTCAAAGAAGGTCACCGCAGATCTGCCTGCTCAAAATGATCCAACTAAATCTTTCAAATCAAGATAACAAAGTATTTTTTAATCTCTGGAGATGAAACTGTTCACTGTGATTAACAGGAAAATACTTTAGAAATGAAAAACCTGATTTCTAACAAAGGAGGCTAACGCTAGCTGCTAGCGACGGCTGCACAGCTGTAGGGTTAGCCAGTCGACGTGCAGACAGTCGCTGACTCAGGTTTAGGCCCACCCCCCTGTGGTGGTTAGGGTTAGTGGGAGGGGCTTTGGGAAGCTGTCAACGCCTTTTATACTAATATAGCTAGCTTCCTTGCTAGCTACTAGCGCTTCCGGTGTAGGTAATGTCACATAACGTGATTGGCTGTACGTTTGTGTGATGACGTGGCAGATGGTGATTGGCTGTATGTCGTAGTGTTTACGGATACTAGTTTTCGGTGAATTAATGTTACGACGCTAATGTTAGCTGCCGATCCACATAAGCTAACGTGTGTGTGTGTGTGTGTGTGTGTGTGTACACATTATTTCCATATTGCCAAAGTAAATGTGAAATAAAAGAAAAAATTTAATAAAGACCCTGAGCAGATCTGATATCTACATTTATAACTGGGACACAATTAAATTAGCTACCGTTAGCTTAACTTGATCGGCAGCTAACATTAGCGTTGTAACATTAATACATGCTAATGCCAGGCTGTGTTAGGTCCCGTTTAATAAGTAGAGCTGCATTTCATTGTATAAGTTCTCCCAGATTATTTAACGGCTCTGGGGTCTCCGCAGTTGATCCGAGGAACCGTTAAAACTATATCTATAAGCACTCCGACGTACAGCCAATCACAATCTGCCACGTCATCAAATAACGCTTTGTCAGCCTTTCTGTAAGCGTATTTGACACCCTGAGATGAGAACAGACAGCAACACAGGAGTAATTATGAACAGGCACTTTTGTGGAAACGTCCTTCAGACAGATAGGGACCCGGCAGGCAGCACGGATTGGGTACCTACAGGGTGTATTCACTCCTGTGAGATCCTGCATATTAATAACGGAACCAGTCGAAGTCAAAATAATTTGGTTCATAAACAATCAGAAAATAAAAACATCTGAACCTGAAAACATGTTCATGTTTGATAAAATTCAAACGGCGTCAGAACTTCAGTCATCTCTCGCCGTTGACCACCGTACATATTTTATCCCCATGTGGTCCGCTGGAAGGGGCGGGGCTTAGGCTCTCTGTAGAGAGCTGGTCATGACATCACTTCCTGTGTAGCCTCTGTTCCTCAGTCTGAAAACATGAAGTGAGGAAGTTTTATTCTGAAACTCTTCAGCAGCTGCAGATCAGAAACTGAAACCTTTATGACTCGAACAGAACTACAGCTGCCATAGAAACGGACGCCATCTTTGTTTGTTCAGATCCATAAAATAAATGTTTGATGATCTGAAGACGTTCTGTCCTGTTCAGGTTCTACAGTCGTTAGAAATGTCAGTGAGGTTGTGGATGAAGTTTCTAACTCGTGGAAAATATCCTGGTTTCACTTCAGCTCTTTAAACACACACAGGAAGTGATGCGTGCGTGCGTGCGTGTGTGTGTGTGTGTGTGTGTGTTCAGAGCGTGGAGGTTCATCATGGAGAACTTCAGGAAGAAAGGATCTCTGCTGGTCACCGTTCCCAGTCTAATGGAGAGTCTGAGCCCTCTGCAGGTAAAACACACACACACACACACACACACACACACACACGTGCATCACTTCCTGTTTGTGTCCAGCAGGAGGCGCTGCAGCCCGGCTGGGTGGAGGAACTTCCTGTGGACTACGATGTTTACCTGGGCAGAGACACGGACCCCGACGCTCTCCGGCAGATCCACCTGTACAGGGTGGTCTGATCTGAACCGGTCTGGACTGAACTGCATCGCTGTTCCTGGACTGTTCTGGACCGGGGTTCTACAGGTCCCGGCTCCGGACCGGGGTTCAGGACTCTTTAATCCTTCAATAGTGTTGGAGGACTGAGCAAGAGACCAGAGCGAGCTGTGACCCCGTTAAAAGTGAACTCAGTAATGGTGACATCACCACAAGTGTGAACTCCCTGTGATGTCACTCTGCTCACGTTGTTGTCATGGAAACCTCAGGTGTGTCTGTAATAAAGAGTCGAAGAGAAACGGCCCGATGGTTCTGCTGAACGTTTGTTCTGTTAAACGTCTCCTTCATCTTCCCACTGCTTCAGTGATGTCGCCGTGATGTCACTGTGACGTCGCCGTGACGTCCCCTTTCAAACACAGATTGATGTAAAACTAACTTACAAATAAAGAGTTGCAAACATTTTTCTAAAGAAACTCCTAAAATCCACTCAGGCCATAAACGCTGCTCAGACTGAAGCGGAACATCACCTGTACAGGTAGCCGCCGGTAGCTGCCGGTAGCTGCAGGTAGCCGCAGGTAGCCGCCGGTTGCCGCCGGTGACCAGCCTCTGTGACCTGACCAGCGCTGCGACAGGCTGCGTGAAAATAAAGAATATAAAACACATTCAGAGTGCTGAGCTGTTCACTGTCACATCTTAAAGCAGCTGCGAGCTTTCTGCAGATGGTGATGTCATTTCCCAGAGAGCTGATTGGTCAGTACGTGTTTTTATAGAGTTGATCTCTGATCTCAGAACCTGCTCCAGGTGAGCCGCTCAGCATCGGGGACCATGGTGATGTACCGGTAAGAAGGAACCACCGTCAAGTGACCTCGCTGAGCTCGGATCCTGCTCCGTGGTCGGAGGCCTCGGGACGCCAAACATCTGATTTATTTAACAGGAGCGCTGTGCTGCAGGTCCACGCCTGGATATGATCATGTGATCACGTTCACCAGCAACAAGTGTTCCAGGTGAACGGGTTCTTTCCAAGGCCGGGAGGTCAAAAGCAGAAACAGCAGATGTTCTTAATGTCGTGATTTGCATATTAATTATTATATTATTCTGAAACAACAAGCAGTTTAAAAAGCTCTTTTTATTTTAATGAGCAGCAGATTACCTGCGGCGTTCTGCGCAGACTCACTGCTGTGACGCATCACCTCGTGCTCTCGTCACCGCTTCCTGCCGTTCACTTCTGTGACGTCACGGCTCTGTTTCATCACCGGCCGTTTCCCGAGGCAACCATTGGCTGGCAGCGGAGGAGCGGCAGGACGGCCGACCAACCGGCGCAGAGGAGTACAGCGAAGCCCCGCCCACTTACTAACTCCGTGCGGTGCGTTCAGGTGACACAGCTCGGGAACACGCGATAACGCTGCTCACTACACCTGGTGGTGATCTGTGACAACAGACACGTTTATAAAGGTGAAAAGAAAGAAATAATTTACACAAATTAAAAATTAAAAAGAGTAAACTGAATAAATACAATCGGGTCACATGTTTTTTATTAGAAATTATATTATTTATTTTTTCAAAACTGAGACAAATAACAATTCAGCAAAAAATCCATTTATTTTATTTATTTATTTAACTGGGCACATTAATGAATATTTTACTGTAAATATGCCAGATTTAGTCAGACGGCTAATTTCCATCGGTAGTCGTACATTACAGAGGTCAGTATAAGAAAAGTACAACAAACTGTAAAAGAATAACAATATATTAACATATAGATATATTAATTAGATAAAACTTTTGTACTTAATACTATTTTAATAATTGATTTATAGTTAAATTGTTTCTTAAGCAAAAACGTGAAATATTCAGGGGTTAGGCTAAACTGAATATTTTTGGATTTTAAACATCCATATTTGACCAGTAACTTTACGGAGGCCATATTAGGCTGATTGATCGATGATGAAATCACCGTCAGATGCAGCCTTTTGTTATTAATAACTTTATAAACACAGAAATAAAAAAGAAAGAGCAGTAAGTGTTGAACTGAATCTGAAGTTTCCCAGCCGCCGCGGGTCCGTGAAGTGGTTGAAAACTTGGTCAACAAGCCGCCAGTCCGCGCGCAGCTCTCAGCTCTCAGCTCGCGGACTTCTTCTTCATTTTGTCCCGCGGATTGTCGGTCCATCGTTACACAACTCGGTAAAGTCCGTGAGGAGCAGGTTCTCCCGGCGGTTCGGAGGCTGAGGGCGGGATTAAAGAAGTTCTGGTTCCGTAGTAACGGAGGTAAGCCGCGGCTCGGACGGCGCGCGGCTCCATGCGGGCGGATTATCTCCGAGTCTAACAAAAGAGCCGGTCTGCGCGCGCTCCGCTCGGTCCCCCCTCCCGGTGCTCCCCGTCCAGGACTCCGGTTTGAATCTGACGGTCGACTTTGGTTTGTTTAGTCCGAGTTCGGGTCCCAGATTCGGTCTTCGTGACTCGGTTTCCCTCCTTTTCCTGAAAGCGGACCCGGAGCGATGCCGCTGCTCCACAGGAAAGCCTTCATCCGGCAGAGACCACCTGCGGACCTGCGGCCGGACGAGGAGGTCTTCCTCTGCAAGATCACACACGAAGTCTTCAGGTCCTACGAGTAAGTACTTTTCGAGCTCACCTGGCGCACCTGCGGGCCGCTACGGGACCGGCACTGAGTCCTGAGTGACAGTTGGTCCGCTGGCAAACTTCCAGACAACAAAAACAAAAGCAACTTTATTCAGAATGAAAAGTTGAACTTGTTCCCTGGTGAGCAGGTGCAGGGCTCCGGGGATCCGGTCCACACAGGCAGGCCGCGGTAGAAGTGGACTGGACCGGTCCGGGAGCAGGTGTACTGCTGGGCTAAAGTTAGCGAGCTAGCTGCGCTAAAGTGAGTTAGCTGAGTTAGCTCGGCTAGGTTAGCCGTTAGCTGAGAGATCAGGCCTGCTGTCACTCAACACTGTGTCAATAAAGTTTGGAGAGTTGAACTCACCTGCGGAGGGTAAAGGGACGTTACAGCCGTCACAGGACAGGTGAGCTTGCTCAGGTGTTCTCACAGAGTCTAGCCTGAAACAGACAGACTCCAGGTATTGATGACGATCAGCTGATCAGTGAACTTTCTGTGATGTTTACTTCCTGGTTGAAGTTTGGCAGCTCGAGTTCAGACATGTGACTCTAAGGTGAGGTGTCCAGGTGTGTCCAGGTGTGTCCAGGTGTGTCCAGGTGTGTCAGTGAATGAAGTATTGATCAGGACTTGATGCTTGTTATTGACATTCTCCCGGCTGATGTCACTTCCTGTCCTCAGTGAGTTCTTCGAGCGCACCATCCTGTGTAACAGTCTGGTGTGGAGCTGCGCTCTGACGGGCCGAGCGGGCCTCACCTACCTGGAGGCGGTGGAGAGCGAGCGGCGGGCGAAGCAGAGTCTGCAGAGCTTCGCTCCGTCTCTGCTGGTTCCTCTGCTCCACCTGGCCGCTCAGAGCCGCCGCTGCCGGCTGACGGAGCTCTGCGAGGACGTCTACGCCTTCGTCAAAGACCGCTTCTTCCCCGGAGAGACCGTCGACGTCACGGGACGCAACGGAGCCAGGTACGGGGGGCGGGGCCGTACGGTTACTCCACCACAGCAGGACAGGCGGGGTTACTTTATTTAGAGCAGTGCGACCAATCACGAGTGCTGACTGGCCTCGGTCAGCACTCGTGATTGGTCGCAGCAGGTACGCATCATCGACCACTTTTGGTCAGTGCGTGGAGACGGGGGAGGCGAGAGGGGGAACGTTTAGAGTGACACCAAATGTTCAGCAGGAGATGTGTTTGAAAATCTGAAGATCACCGTGACGCTGATGGAACCGAAGGTTCTCCTGACGTTCCGCTGACTACAGTCAGCAGCAGAGGCTCATGGGTATTATAGTATTCAGAACAGTTGATTAGTCAGAACATAAATCTGTCTGTCAGAGTTTCTGTGGAGGAGACCAAACAGATCAGATGACACAACAACCTGCTGTCACTCCAGAGTCTCCACATATGGACGCTTGGTCGAGACCCGTTGGCGTCAGTTTGAACGCCAAAGGTAGGTGAAGGATATTTAACAGTAAAGTCAGAGTCAGGAGGAGGTTGGGGGGACGGGAGGGCCAGAAACTGGACTTTAGACCAGGAGCCTTCAGTAACGGCAGTCCAACAAATTGTGACGCTTCACAACATCAGCACACACTTTTATTGTGAAAGTCTAACAGGACGTTGCTATTTATTCTTTCTAACTGACCACGGAGCCCGATCCGTTAAAAAGGAACGCCAAGAGGTTCTGACCAAGCGTCCATATGTGAGGAGTCGGGATGAGAACGTGTTGGATACAAACAGCATCGTGAGGAAACAAGCTGCTGATTGGTCGCGTGTGTGTGTGTGTGTGTGTTGCAGACATGTGTGTGAGATCCTGCAGGTTCACTCTCCTCACTCCAGCGCTAACGGAGCGCCGGCCGCTAACGGCCACGCCAAAGCAGCGGACGGTGACACCATCGTCATCAGTGACAGCGACGACGAGAGCAAAGCCTTCCAGAGTCCCACGGCGCAGGTCAACGGGTCAGTAGGTCAAAGGTCATTCTAATGTTGATCGGTCAGCAGGTCGTGCTGACTGATCAGGAGTAAAGAACAGGGTTCTACGCATCCTGGAAAACCTGGGAAAACAGTTGATCCCTATTCCATTCATTGAGAGAAATAGTAAAATGTCCTGGAAAAGTATTTTAACGTGATGTCGTAGCAGCGCTGTGAACGCAGCCCGAGTCAGGTCACATGGTTGGCTGGACGCCATTAATTCAAGTGACTGACGCTCTGAATAATATTAATAAATAATGAGTTGAATAATTCAGTCCCTCCAGGATCTTTCTGATTGTTGCAGCAGCTTTTCTAAAAAGCATATGACACTTTGGATGGTTTAGCTTGCAGCCAAACACGGAAAGAAAGAGAAGAGCAGCTTTCTCTCCTGGTGTTCCTGCACACGCTCAGTCCATGCTGATTTTACCAGCCGTCACCTTCGGCTGCGTCTCAGGCGAGTTCCTCACCACGAGCTCGGCTTCCCTTGGTTTCATCTTCTGGGATCATTGAACACGTCTCTGTACGTTTTTATTCGCTGTTCACATCACGTGTCTCTGATCGATGCAGATTCTCTTTCCTCTGTGAGGCTTTACTTTAGTGGTTAAACAGACTCGTCCTCGTTTTCTACTTGTGACTGTCGTCGTTGGAGGTTTGACTCGCCGCTAAAGTTGTCTGTGAAGGTTCTCGGTCATCCAGGTCGTGGTTATCCAACGAAGGCTGAGGTCAAGGACAGCTGGACGTAGATACTAGAAAGTATCTACTAGTCTCTTCAACCACGTCCAGTCGCCCTTGACTTTAACCTTCGTTGGACTCGCCACTAAAGGAAAAAGCTCTCGGAGATCTTTCAACTCAGTTTATTGATAGAAAGTTAACAAAATAATTTTCCGTAGTTTCAACACGTTTTAAAAAATTACCTTAAATTCGTTTGCTACAACTTATTCGGTGACTAAACGGTTTCACTCCTCACTCCCAGCTGCAGTCTGTCCCCGTATAAAACTACCCGTGAAGACGAACTCCTCAGGAGCGTCTGATCAGTTTCCCAAAACTTTTATTTAACAGTTATTTAAAACAAGAAAAAAATAAAATGGTTCACCTTGCTTGTCCATAACAACAATAAAAATAATAACAGGCTGCCAATAATTACTGTGGCTTCACCAGGTGGCGTTTTAGTATCGAATGATGTATCTGCTGGTATCGGTGTCACTTTGAGGGTACTGGTTTTGGTTCTGGTATGTAACGATACCCAACCCTATTCCTGAGGCCTCTCACTGTACAGACAGTGCAGTCTATTGCAACCTCGGCGGTCCTAACGCGTCCTCGCAGCACGCCTCGGGCAGAATCCAGTTTCTTTGTTTGCTGAGTTTATTGAATCCTCCTCTGAAGGTGAATCTGAGTCGCCGCTGACGGTGGTCGTCTGCTCAGTTACTGGTGTTCAGGCAGCAGGAGGTAAATATCACTCGCTTTCAGAATACTTAAAAATAATAAAGTAAAAAAGGACAAACGCAGCAGTAAGAGATGATTTCAGACTGCAGGACTTTAACATCAGACTTCAGCAGAGAGGAACATGTTGGTGTCATCAGTGAAAAGGTCCTGGAAGGTCCTGGAAGGTGATCTGCAGTGAAGCGTCCTGAGTCTGAAGGTGTTGCAGGAGGGTGACGACTGTTTTAATGTGTGTCTGCAGGAAAGAAGAAGAAGAAGCCTCTGAGTCCGTCAGTGTTTAAATACACAGTGAGGATGATGAAGGACGAACACAGCGAGGCGTTCACTGTCAGAGCCAATCAGATCAGGTGAGCCGCCGTGACATCACCACATGCTGAGATTTAGTTGGATCAGAGCCGATTGAGCAGGTTTGATCGTCAGGATGTATTGACGGGTAGTGAAGTTGAAGAGCGCCCTGCTGGACGTCAGGGTGAACTGCTTCAATCAGACCAACAGATAAAAAGCTCATCACGTTTTAAACAGGAAGTCAGAAAGTA